CTTGGCGGACTTCTTAACAGTCTTGGTACGAACGCGACCCATGATTACGGTATTGAGGGGGTTGTATGTGGTGGTTGTCGAAAGTTTTTGCGGTTGTCGATTGAGAGGTATACAATCTTCAAAATTCTTTTGTGTGGGAAAAGTTGTCAATGTCTCGCTAGCTGGTGCACTAGTGTCTTTTTTATTCACGTGACTGTCAATAACCTGTTCGCAGGAGAAAATCCCCAAAAAATCTTTGTTACTATCTTTTGAATCAATTGAATGTTAAATCAACCACAAATTTAACATTTAAATATAGAAAGACTCAAATGGCTATCGGCTCTTGTTTATCTCGATGACATTCAAGTATTCTATTTTATGTGATACTCGAAAGAACTAATCGATTTATTGAAAGTGTTATAGGCATGATCAGTTTCACCTATTTTCCTTCCTACAAATAGACAATCCGGCCAGAACAACATTTGATTCCTGGGGTGATCCGGGGGTATAGAAATATCTGGATAAAAATGATGTGTCTGCTAAATAGTCCATATAGATGGACTCGGAAGGCTGCCTCTAGCTGGATTAAACTCCGAAGATAAGTGTATTACGAAAATTCTTCTCATATTAACAACTCGAGATTGAATTTCACGTGTAATACGAACCACAAAACATTGATAATTATAATTAATTGCTCTCTAAAAGAAAGTCTCTATAATGGTACAAATATCCAGACCTTCCCTTCCCCAGTTCCCTCTAACAGTTCCTTCTAAAGGGTATCATGAACAAAGAAAAAGTACAAGCTTATTACCAACATGGGAATGAATGTATGATTACCAAGGTCGATTAATTTCAATATGTATACCAATGAAAGTTTCCTGGAAAGAATCTATTGATCCCGTGGTGTGACAGGAATATCCCAGATCGAGGAAGCTAATTGTGTAGATTCGGATGGGGATGAATCTTGTTCGGCGTGTGAGTTTGAAGGGTCGTTGCGATTGTCACCGTCAGAATTTGGAGCAAAAGGTATGGCGGAGGTGGATGTAAATACGGGAAGATCATATTTCTCCCCTGCAGCTGGTGTGTTCGTATTGGGTGGTAACCATCGAAGTGGTTCTTGTTGTGCTATCGTGCTTGGAATCGGGCCTTGAGGTTGAAAGGGCACAAATTTGTCCGCGCTGTAATTCGATGAATGATCCGAAATATTTCCGGATTCATATGATTCCATGGGAGGAGCGATAGGCGAACTAGTCGGTAAGGGAACTTGTCCAGGCTCTTCTGATTGAGCAGAATCCTGCGGAGGAACAAATAGTTGAGGGGTTGAAGGTCCAGGTGAGATACTCATTATTGGTGTGGAAATTGCAGATTCATTGTAGGTCGTCTCGGAATTAGCTGTTGTAGGTGGTGTTTCGTTTGACATATTTGGGGATGCTTTCCCATCTTCCTGACTCGAATCAATCTTTACCCTATGCTTTTCTTCTTCCTTGGCTTCTTTCTGTGCTTTAGTCAGAAGACTAATCTTGATTTTCTTCATACCAGAAGTTAGACTATCAACGTCAGATGACTGGTTGCTATTTTCTGCAGTTGGAACAGCCCCAATGGTATTCTTCATATTACTATCAGAACCCGTCACTGGAGGAGACTTCTTGCGGGGTCGACCTGGACCTGGCTTTGAAGCATCAGTTCGAGGTTTGGCAGGTGCTCTTGTTTTCTTTACAACGACAGGTGGTGGAGGAGGTCCACGAGAGCTCATGGCGGACCCCGGTCGTACACTCATAGAACTACTCGGTCTTTGAGGAAGTGATGGCGCTCTATTAGCGGCAGGTACCGGACGAGAAGGAGGAGGCATTGCCGCAGTAGTGGATATAGATGCGGCGCTAAGTCTCCGAACAGACTTTTGCGTTGGCTGACTAGAATTCGTGTCGGATGCTTGACTTGTGCTTGGAGCGGGAGGAGCCTATTAATTGTTAGTTTGTAACTATACAACATGACGTAACTACATACTTTGTGTACAGGTGAAGCGGCGGTGCTAGGAACGGTTCTTCGACGGTTTGATTTTGCAGCAGGCTTTTTGATCTCATCCTTTTCGATACTATCAAGCAATTTTGGTGGAGGTTTTCTTGTTCGTAAAGACATTCTGGCATTAGCGGGTTCCGGATTAGCGGGTTGTTGAGCGGCTTCGGGGTTGGCTAATGATTGACGTTCTTTTCTTGCTTTTGTAGCTTCGGCAGCAAGATCTTCCCATTGACAACTCTTTGTCTGTCTATCAGTTGGGATAAGCAATTTACTCAATTCATGAGCTGCAACTGTCCAATGAACATCGGGTGGTGGAGGAGTAGGTGGCCTGGGAGGTGAAGATCTTGGAACTGGCACTCCATTTCTCATACCCATCGTTGATACACTACGTTGCGCCGTAGGAGTGTTGACGACTTTGGCAATGAAGGATTGTGTAGGAGATGCAAAATTTCCTGGAGGTCCTGCGGGTTTTTGAATTTTCGGCTCCTCGGGGACTGGTGCACTGTTCATAGCAGCATCAAGTTGTTCCAGTCGGCCTTGAGACCACCATAACGGATCATATGGCATGAAACCATACGGAGATGGCGGTCCAGGGCTCAATGGATCTACACCAAGTCTCTGTCCCATTTCAAAGTTTAGACCTGTGAATGCCTTTTCGGTGTGAGCTACAGGATCACTTCCTGACAAACCACTAAGATGACTCAAAACCCCAGTACACAAAGCACGATCACTGTAACCACCCTCAAGAACACTGATAATCCTTCCGTCTACCCCTGTACCTTCCTCCGCTGCAAGTTTTACAACATCTCGAGTTAGACGAGCATAAAACTCGGTTGGAACGTTGACTTTATGACGTTGCATGCCAGAACTCTCCCACTCACTGGCGTCGAAACCAGCCGATAAGAAAATTGCGGCTTTTGGCTTTGGTCCATTGGGTGATGTTTGAAGACGCTCGTATTGTGTGCGTAAAAAGTTTCGTGTCTTCTCGAGTAGAACTGAATACTTTGATTCATATAGTTCCCAGAATCCTTCTTCAGTTTTCCATGGTTGTAAGTGGACATTCCAAATATTTTGTCCATGTGCATTTTCAATACAAAGACTAGCATTCTTGACTTTCTCCTCATCACCCATCTCACATGGGTATGAATTAATATCATGGAGACTGAAATATCCAATCGAAGTCTTCTTCCACGGTAATGCATTCTTAGCCAATCCATTAGCACGAGCGTTATGTTCCCAAGCGATTGCTTGGGATCCGTCTCCATGATGAAGATCAAAATCGATGATAGCCGCATGAGTTAAACCGTGAGTGAGAGAAGCATGTGAAATACCAACATGAACATTGTTCAACCAACAGAATCCAGAAGGATAACTAGCTGAACAATGATGTCCAGGAGGTCTTATCGCAATGAAAGTTCGGCGTGGTCCCAATCCAGTAGAAGAGCCTTCAAAAACAGCATCAACACCCTCACATACAGCACCCAGCGCACCCTCCATAGCGTCCAAAGACTCCGAACAGAGATAGAGATCACCCTCGTGAAACTTTGAAGGGGGTGCTTCATTTGGACCTCGATTCATCTCAGGTCTGGCCAATTCTTTTCCATTCATAGCGAGCTTGGCTTCTGCATTATCACACATAATCTTCAACTCCTCCATCCACTTTACTCCGTGTACATTTGTGATCGCTTGCGAGGATAAAGACATTCGACGAGTAGTTTTGCGTATGCGAAAGGGTGTACTAGGTACCGCGGAAGCTTCCATGCCAGGGTGAAGAGGATAGCGACCCTCGGAGTGTCTTTCGCCCAGTCGTACATATGCTACAGACAATCCAAGTATGCTCGCATGAATTCTTTCGGGTCTTTCGACAATTGTACTCAAACCAGTTCTTGAAGTTTTAGGTCGAGAGAAGCGATGTCCATAAACGGAGTCGTGAAGTATAACAATTGTCTCTGCAGATCTTGAGCCATCATTCATATCTTGTAAATCCAATTCCGACTTGAAATGCGAACTTGCGATGGATGCTGCAGTATGCCGCGGTGAGGGTTCACGCATTTCTTCCTCCCTTTGGGAAAGGAGTGATTTACTACCCATGACAGATGGTGACCTGTGTGCAAATTGTGTAGATGATCTTCTGTTTATTGAATTTTTGTTTGGAGTAAGACCTCCACCGTTAAGTGAATTTAGGGACGGTTTCCGGGAGAGATGTGAAGTAGATGAGCGACGTTGGTCGAAACTCGCAGTGCTGGAACTTCGGCGTAAGGGGCTCGGAAGAACGGGGCTTCTACCACTTGGTGATGGATAGAGATTTGAATGGCCACCATATGATGTAGCTCTTGTAGAAGAAGTATGGGGCGAAGTTGGAAGGCCAGTTCTAGAAGCGTTACTGATTGAAAGGCGTCTCAGTGAATTTGCTATTGGAGTATCGTTGCTACTTGTCGAGGAGGGCAACTGGACGGGCGAAGGGCTGGCATTTCTGCCACCGTTTGGCGATGAGTTAGCCATTGTAAATGAGTGAATGAGTGAAATTATGTTGAGCCGAAAGCTCAACCTTCACTTAAATTCTTGACCCTTCACTAAATTCAATCTTCTCGTCGCGAAGTTTCCAGATAGAGAAGCTATGACGATGACGAAGGAATATGCGGCAAAGAATCCCTAAATCGCGTATTGGCGCAGATCGCGAACCCCTGCCAACCAACGGTTCAGCCTCGGTGTTGTTATTTTATGAGAATCCAAGAGAAGAGTGATGAAATGAGTTTCAATACTGATGGAAATATATCAGAAAGTCGTCTGAAGGTAATAATAAAATCTCGAATTTCCATCTCTTATGCTCGTAGAAACGCCGTTGTTTCAAGTTATATCTCTAGTTACTTAGGGAGGGGTAGGTTTTGTTTCTTTTTTTTTGTCAGACTGTCATTGCATGCAGTGCCCAGCAATTCTGTTCAAAATATTTTACTATTGGTACCTACTATCTATTCATCTCTTGTTAATCCTAAAATCTTCTATCATTACTCCATTAGATCAACACCAACTGTTCTTAATGCTTCTACTGCCCAATCTGGATATTTAGATTTCTCACTACCGTGAAGATCTGCAAAGAACTTCTTGATGAAAGCGGGATATCTATCTTCAATAATCGCTTTCCTAGCATTTCTCATCAACTCCAGTTGATACCAAACATTATGCATGGTGAGTAAATGTGCGCCAACAGTCTCTTTAGCAGCTAAATGGTGAACATATGCTCTGGTAATACCCAGACCGCCATCTCCTGTTCTGCAGCATATGCATCCACATCCTTCTTCCACTGGCCCAAAATCGTTCGCGTAAGATGCGTGTCGTAAATTTAGGACTCCATGTTTGGTGATTGCGTTTCCAAATCGTGCTGTGCGAGTAGGCCATACACAATCGAACATGTCTGCACCTAATGCCACACTGACTACCAAATCTTCAGGATACCCAATTCCCATCACATATCTGGGCTTATTTTCTGGCAAGAGACTTGTACATGTATTTACTACACGACAATAATCCGACTTGGCTTCACCACCACTTAACCCACCTATCGCAATACCTGGGGTCCCTCTTGCTACCATCTCTTCACAGCATTTTTTCCTCAACTCTAAATCCAATCCTCCTTGTATAATGCAGAACAGATTTTGTGTGGTCGGATTCGCGTGTGCGGTGATACATCGATCGAGCCATCTAACACTTCTCTCCATTGCTACCTTCATTCTTTCGGCATCGGGAGAGGTAGTGACCAACACATCATCGAGTTGCATGATAATGTCGCTTCCTATGGAATTTTGAAGAGACATTGAATGCTCAGGCGTGAGTAACATAGGGGATCCATCATGCGGACTCAAGAAGCGTACACCTTCCTCTGTGATATTGGCCAATTTTAGGAGACTGACCATTTGAAAACTATCGACATTGTGTTAGTTTGCAAAAGGGGTGTGTAGGTTGATGCGTAGACAAAATTACCCTCCACTATCTGTTAATATATTGTGGTTCCACCCTTGTAACTTATGCGCTCCCCCAACTTTGTCTAAAACCTCCTGCCCTGGTTTCAAGCCTAGGTGATAGGTGTTGTTCAAGCATAAACGACAACCTGTATCTTCAAGTTGTTGCGGAGTCAACCCTTTTAATGATGCCTGTGTGGCGACCGGCATGAACATGGGTAATTGGACTGGGCCATGAGGTAAAGTCAAATTGGCGGCTCTTGCTTTTGTTGTCTAGCATATTTGTAGAAATTAGAGAGCGGTGATGGGAGAGAAAGAAAAGTAATGATGGCTTACGGAGCAACGAGCCAATAACTCAAACGTTAAAGCCGAGGGCATAGGAGCTTTTGAAGCCGCCATCATATCTGGATTTCCTTTTTTATGTTTCTTTTCTTTTTTTTTTTTTTTTTTGGATATTTTTTTTGTTTAAATTCGTTAATCTTACAAAATGTCTCGGGATATTTCTTGAAGGAGTTACCAGTATGATTAGATTCGCACTTGGGTGGTGGCCCGGGTGGGGTATTGATCACAGCCTTGTCTATGCTCGACACGAGGCTAAGGTTATACCCGGTATGCGGGAGTTGTGCAGAGGAGACGCTAGAAGGTATCATCGACTGGGGCTCCCGGAATCTCCCCCTTGAATTCTCCGTTGAGACCTGGGCAGCAGGTTGTATCTCAGCCTTCTGTGTATTGGCACTTTCTACTTAGGTAAGCAAGTAAAGGGAACTTCACCACAAACACTCATCAATATATACCAGGACTTTCTTATTATACTATTACCAATATTACCTATATTACCTATATTACCTATATTCCCTATATTCCCTATATTCCCTATATTCCCTATATTCCCGCAGTCTTAAATTACCTGGTCACGGTTATATCATGCCTTCTTCTACACAAATCATTCCGTAAATATCACCCCATTCTCATTGATCATCAAAGGTTTTTCCCTGTTGGTTTTTTCCCTTTCATCAGTGAAGTGTAAAATAGTATTCCACCATGTAAAAAGTCACAACATCAACCAATCCTCTCTTAGTAAGATAAATCCATCTCCACCAACATCAGACCACTTTCTTCTGCCCAACAAGGATTTCACCACACAAACGACGCAAACAACACAACAGGAACGTCACTTACCTTCCTCATATACGCCGGTCCCCCAACCCTTACTGAATATAGATCATTATGCGGTTCAATTGAGTGAAGCGTGGTTGATCTCACACCTTAATCGAGTGGTTTATATCAAGAATCTCCATCATTTTCGTCTTGGCGACTAGATACGATCGATGTATTTGCTAGGATGGAAGTTCGACTCTTTGGAACTTGGGCATCGTTGATCAATCAAGTGAAGTCTAGATTAATATCAGCTCACAATATCCATATTTCATCTTGTTGATCGGGTTCCTGTCCTAAGTGAGGCTTTCCCATACACTTAACTTTATATCTTTCCTTCCTTAACCTTCCGAGGTCTCTTCTTGCATGTGTCAATTCAAGAAGTTTTCAGTAAAAGCTTGTATATTATTCATTCAGTCGACTCCTGTTCCATCTCAACTTTACTCTCCTTCACTTCACTTTGCTTCTAATACAACATCGCAAGGCTCACAGGCTAAATGATATTTCTCCCTTGAGCGCGCAAGATTGACCTGACCGTACAATCATTTAATAGTAATAGGCTTTCTTTTCATACAATACCTTCACATTCAGCCTTTTCAAAATATTTCTATTACTTGTTCTTTTTCAATATGTTCACCTCTTATATCAAAAACAATCCATCAATGGATCCTCAAGTTCTACGAATGATTTACAGACCACAATCTACCACGATTTCCGCATCTCAAGAACCGCTCAGCAATTTTCATCTTTTCCCGAAACTCTTACCTGAACTTCGAATTCTCGTCTGGCGATATGCCTGCACAACTCGTACTGTCGAAGTTCGATATGATCCTACCATCGATCGATGTCGTTCGATAACTCCACCTCCTGCAATCCTCCAAGCTAATCACGAATCACGAACCGAAGCTTTACGTGTATATACACTTTCCTTCGGAACACAGACCTCCGAACCAAGAATTTATTTCAATCCTTACATCGACGTTCTTTACCTTCCTCGGCATCGTGCAATGGGATATGATGAAACCCTTCGCGACTTTCGTACCCTTTTAAATATACCCGAACTTCTCGACAATGTCAAAGCTATTGGAATCGACCATGTAGATGTGGAAATCAAGAGGCCTTGGGAATCATACAATAAAGCGACGTTAATGCGATCTTTTCCGAACCTCGACTTGGTTAAACTTATCATTAAAGAGGAGAGAAGGGAATGCGGGAGATTGGACGAGGACTTCGAATTCGTAGAACCGAGAATGGAACCAGAGGATATCTTGAGAATATGGGTGGATTTCAAACAAAGTTTCGTAAGGGAAGAAAGAACTTTGAAGGAAATCGCTATGGGCCTTGAGAAGGAATATATGGGGTGGGCCTTACCGACTGTGAGGGTACAGACGAAGGTTAAAAAGGAAATTGTATAAAAGGGTTAAGGCATGGAGTAATTGGGTATCAGCTGGTGTATTTATATGGTATACCCAAAGCATTGGCGCATACTTAGAATGGGAATAGAATGGATTTTTGGGCGCAAGCAATGTTTCTTTAATGATTCATGTTGTTTATCTTTTATTTTCCTTTTCCCTTATGTTCTTGGCGCGAATATGGAACGCACATGTATGGGAAGCATGACTAGCACTTTCAACGATGAAATGGAGGAAAGTCTTCCAGAGGGAGTCATACGTCAACAGTGGGCGAATGTCATTCAAGGCCTTGCAATACAATTCAATATATAAATATCAAAAGAGTCAAAGCATCATCCAGAACTCAACTATCTGCAGAAAATATATATTTACGTCCAGAGGGAAAAAAGAATCAGCCTCGCGTGATGTGATAAGATGTGATGAATGAGATGACATTAATTATATATATATATATATATATATATAAATATCATACATAATACATAATACCTTTACAAATAATAACTCACTAGCAAAATACACATCTCCCCCCCTCAACATAAAGCTCCATAGTTATACATCTACCATTCACACCATCCGACGTGAAATATGTCTCCCCGCCTTCGGTTCTACGCTCTCCGCATTTCTTTTTCTGATGTACCCGTAATCCCTCGGCGAAACTCACTCGCTTCGCTTGGAACATTCTTTGGTTCGTTTTTTTATTTATGAGTTCTTGAAACTCTTTTGGAGGGTTTGTGGGCTGGGGGGGGGGGTTTTGTATTGGTTTTTGGATGGGTTTGGGAATTGGGAATTGGGAATTGGAAACTGGAAATTTATGGGTGGTTGGTTGATTGGTTGGAACTTGGTAGATGTGGATGGTGTAGTGGTGTAATGGTAGTAGATGTTGATAGATGTCAATAGATGGAGAAATGGAAAAGTGTAGTGGAGAGAAGCGTAGGAGATTTGTGTGGTGGATTTGTGTGGTCATAAAGGATGAAGGGATATAGAGGGATATGAAGATTTTCCGCCCATGATATATTATACATTAGGAGAATTGAGTAATAGATTGGGAAGATTGGGGAGAGGATTTGGGAAATTTAGTAAGGGTTGATGGGTTTAGGCCTGATGGGTTTAGAGTGAATAGAGAGGGGAAAAGGTATTATTTTATAGCTGGGTGAGGAGTGGGGATTTGGAGTGGAGGAGAGGGGTGTTGATGGGTTGATGGGGAGAAAGATGGAGCGGAAGGGAGTGGTGTGGATATGAGATGGGGTTTGGAGGAGGGGAAGCGAGGGAGCTCGCTTGAGGAAGATGGGAGTTAGGAGGTAGGAGGTTGACTTTGGGACTGAAATACAGATTACAGAGTAAAATCTTCAAGAATACGAACCAAATAGATTCTATGGATCAAATCAAATAGATAGTAGCTAAGATGGAAGGAGAGTGGAGAGAAGAGAACCAAGAGATTTTATGACACGGGACGAATATACGATTTGAGAAATCGATAATGCGCTGTTGTGAGTGGGGATGTAGAATTGTGAATTGTGGTGCATTGTGTTGCATGTGTGGAGTTCTTTATTTGTGTGTATGTATGTATCTTATATCCATAATCATATTCATATCTCAATAAAACCCTCCAAAATATGCATACTCTCGACTCAACTCAAAACACTCTCCTACACCACACCATTGCGCAAATACCCAAAATCTGAAGCCATCTAACTAACTTTACTTGATCAAATATAAGATACCATCAGAATACAACAATACAAATACCCACCCACCTATAGAAAATTGCATCCCTGATCTCGAAAAGTCGATACGCGATCTTCTAATGTATGAACAAATTCAATATCTTTTATCTTTTATCTATACTCCACCTCCCCCCTTAGGCCTCTACATTCTCCACAGTTAGTTTACCTACAACTCTGCAACTCTACAACTCTACAACTCTACAACTCTACAACTCTACAACTCTACAACTCTACAACTCTACAACTCTACAACTCTACAACTCTACAACTCTACAACTCTACAACTCTACAACTCTACAACTCTGCCCCGACTAAACACCTAAGATACCCAAACCCTCGGCTCTATCCCCTCTTCCTCCATCCCCTCTCCCTCTATCCCCTCTCCCTCTATCCCCCTACCCCCTCTCCCAGCATACCTCCCATCCATGTAACGCGCTCCAGAGAAAAGACGCAAGATCTCCAAGATCTCCAACCCAATACCCAGGACACCCTCTCCAAAATCTCTCCTCCCCCAAAAAAACAACAATCCCCATCTCTTCCAAACCCCAACTCTTCAGAATCGAAACTCTCCACCCCTAAAAACATCCCCAACAAGAAACAATCAAATATCTATCTATCCATCACTCAACTAAATATCCATCTCAAACTTCCTACTCATACCATACCATACCTAGGTTTGACCAATATCCAAGCAACATACAAGCAGCAAAGTAACCATATCACTCTCCTGCAACTTTCCACGACGAAGGGAGGGGATCTTTATATAAAAGGTATGGAATAGATTGATTGAGATACGATTTTTGATCGATTACAGCAAGGGTGTACTGTGAGATTAAATACTCTAATAGTGTCATACGATAGGTACTATTCTTTATCAATACAAGATCTGATGATTGTGGAATATTGCCCTCTGCAACTGAGTACATATCTGGTATCTCGCTAGGAGATTCGTGTAATTTTTCATGTTGGAATCATCTTCCTTTCATCCACTTCCTCCCAGCCAATAAGCATCACTCTCTCTCTCATCACTCTCGCTCTCCAGCAAGATACCTCTGCTTCTCACCGCAAAAACGTGTACACCTCGCTCCACCCCAATCACCTCAACCAA